CAGATGATAAACAGTAGAACGACGGCAACAAAACGAACATTTGACACGTGTATTGTACAATAACAAACATTTAATTCTTGAACATTTCGGAATATACATATTCAAACTTCAACAAACTATATTGAACAGGGTAAAATATTAGGTACTAAAATTTATAAAGTTCAAACATTTTATAAAGAGTAGTTGAAATACAGAATAAAAGGATGAAGTAAATCGTTTGTCTTTTGATTTCTTCTTCATGTTAAAAGGGTTTGTCTTATTTTATACGTATAGTGTTTGACTTTATTGATGATTTTAGTTGTTTCTTTTGAGGGTTTGCTTTACTTTATATTTATGATTTTATTTTGTATTATTGTGTATTTACATATATGTTATTGTTATTAAGCGCAAAGCTTCACAAAGGGTTGTCTGTGCTGCACACCACGGATATCGAAACCCAGTTTTCAGCCGTGTAAGCCTTCTGCCTTACCACTAAGACACTGGGAGGGTTTGCACCTATATTAAAGTTTTTTTTTATGAATTGTATCCATACCTTTGTTTAAAGGATTGTGTGGTTTAAATGGTGTAAATAGTTTCAAGGGAGAGAATAAGTTAACACACTGTCAACCAGTGAATAAGTTTAAGGTTTATTGATTGCAAATTTAACAGTAATTGTTGGTTTAAGTAAAAGTATGAAGCAAGGGAGAAAGGAAAGTGTAGTACATAATTATATCACCGTTTATATATTCTTACATTATAATAGTACTTACTATATATGTGTGCAGTTTTCACATAACATGTGGTTGAGAAAGTTGTTAAATTGATTTCATTTAAGCTACCTTTTTTCCTTTGCCATTCTCTGAAGATTATGCCTGTTCTAGCTCATGGGAGGTAGTGCTGTACATTGTGCAAGGATGTCAACATCAGTATTCTTTAATGATATAGCAAGTGGTATTTCGAGGTTAGGGCCCCTCTATGTTTGAATGAGAATGACCAATCATGTGGATAGCCCTAATAGCTCAAAGTAAATGCAACAATTTTTGTGAAGAAAGGAACGTTGGATTTAGACGGTCTTGTAGATATCTTCAGAGAGTGATCAGTTTCAGAAAAGATATAGAAAATACAGTAAAAGCGACAGTCCGTCGTTATGTAAAAGTAAGCACGCTCACTTGTGTTTGTGTTAAGCCTGTTTGGATAAAGAGTGTCCATTTTGTATTTTACTTAATTCCCAATCTCTTTATTTCATTCTCACAAACTCAGTTATTCGGAGATTCGCTATTATTCTAATAAATATCTCGTTGAACATTCTTTTAAGCTGTCCTATCCCACTGCTCTAAATTTAATTCGGTTCAACCTGGATATACCACAAAAGCATGGTTTTGAAAACATGATTTAGGCAAGACCCACCGTAATAAATCTTTTTTTTTTTTCTTAACCCATTATGTTTGAGAGTAGCAATCACATGACAATAATTTTGCATTTATAGGGCTCAAGCAATCACCTGATAAATCACATGATCAGTATATTTTGCATATTTATGTTTGTTTTGAATTTCGCGCAAAGCTACACGAGGGCTATCTGCGCTAGCCGTCCCTAATTTAGCAGTGTAAAACTAGAGGGAAGACGGCTAGTCATCACCACCCACCGCCAACTCTTGGGCTACTCTTTTACCAACGAATAGTGGGATTGACCGTCACATTATAACGGCCCCACGGCTGAAAGGGCGAGCATGTTTGGTGGGACTGGGATTCGAACCCGAAACCCACAGATTGCCAGTCGAGCGCCTTATCCACCTGGCCATGTCGGGCCAACATATTTATGCCGTTTTAGAACCTGTTTCCAAACAGATAATGATGACCATATTTTACAGGAACTTTCTTTCAAGTTTGTTAATAAGATCCCCAAAAGTCTTATCTTAAGCACCAGAAATTGTGTATATATATATATATATTTGTTTATTTACTTATCCTATGTAAATACGTTTAATTTTCCTACACCTATATATTATTACATGGTCTTTGTCGCAATTAATAATGTTTTACATTGCGTTTATTAATAATACTTCCATACTAATAATATAGCACATTCGTACGATACTGATATTTTCGCTTGCTCTAATTTAAATTGCAATATGTTACACCTTATTTCTTTTTATACTTTTTCACCTCTGAAGAAGCACCAAACATATTGTTGGTGTGAATGTGCTGTTACGACATCGAGATCACGTGACTAGTATCACGCCACGTCATTCTCGAACATTCACGTCTTTTCCTTAAATCTCGTGATCCTTCTAGATATAGTGTAGTATTGTATATATAAGACCGGCCCCGAAGCGACGGGAAGGTAATGAGTAATTGAACTGCAGTCAGAGAGAATACTGTTGAGCACTTGAGACGTTCGTTTGAATTATAGTATTTGTTATAGCGCGACTGTTGAAATTAAGTGTATCGCAAAGTTATATTCAGAAATAATAAACCAGTTTTATTTAAGAAAGGACTCGTATCGGTAAAGTTTCTTCGGTAAGAGTTTTAACGGAAAATTAACTAACAAACGGAGACGTAACAAATTGGTGTCAGAGAGTGGGATAAAAAAAAATGGAAACGAGAGGCGGCAAATCAAACTACAGCTTAGCAGATCTGATGGCAGCAATACAAGAACAGCAAAAGAAACAAGAAGAATGAGAAAAGAAACAAGAAAAGAAACAAGAAAAGAAACGAGAAGAACGAGAAAAGAAACAAGAAGAATGAGAAAAGAAACAAGAAGAACGAGAAAAGAAACAAGAAGAGAGACAACAGCTCTTGCAAGAAAACCTGCAACAGTGGCAGCTGGAACAACAAAATAAACAAGAAAGATTACAGCAGTTGTTTGAGGAAAAAGAAAAGAAACAAGAAGAGAGACAACAGCAGTTGCAAGAAAACCTGCAACAGTGGCAGCTCGAACAGCAAAATTAATAAGAAGAGAGACAACAGCAGTTGCAAGAAAACCTGCAACAGTGG